CACCACCTCGAGTACTGGGCTCAGCTTGGGGCCCCTCACTCCAAGAAGGACATGGAGGGCTGGAGCGTGTCCAGGAGAAGAGCAGCGAGGCTGGGGAGGGGTCTGGAGAACAGGTCTGATGAGGAGCAGCTGAGGGAACTGGGGCTGTTTAATCTGGAGAAGAGGAGGCTGAGAGGAGACCTTCTCGCTCTCTACAACTGCCTGAAAGGAGGTTGTAGTGAGGTGGGTGTTGGTCTCTTCGTGTAAGTAGCAAGTGATAGGACGAGAGGCAATGGCCTCAAGTTTCACCAGGGGAGGTTTAGATTGGATATTAGGAAAAAGGATCATCAAGCACTGGACCAGGCTGCCCAGGGCAGTGTGGAGTCCCCAGCCCTGGAGGTGTTCAAAAACCGTGTAGATGTGGCACTTCAGCACGTGGTTTAGCAGACATGGTGGTGTTGGGTTGACGGTTGGACTTGATGATCTTTTCCAACCTTAATGGTTCTATGATTCTACGGTCTGTGTTGATCAGTGTTTTGGCACTGGAGGCTCAGTGCTAATCTCCTTGCCACTAGCAACCCCCTGGCTGTAATGCCATCTGTTCTTCTAACTCGGGCTTGCTCGATGGTAAATTGTTTGTCTTTAGAGTCTAATGGTTTGTCATTATCCAGTTCCTGTGGTAACAGCGACCACTTTGTCTTCTCATAGCAGTCACTGCTCTGACAGTGGAGACTTCCCAGGTGAAACTGTTCACTCTCTCTTCTGTGGGCTCTGAGAAGAATAAACAAGGCCTCACTAATGCATTCTATGCAGTTAAGAGCACTCCAGGAGCATTTTTGCAGATGCAGGCATTTGCCTTTCCAATTTTAAGTTGAATGGCTTAAATTCCCTGTTACGTAGCACTTGCTGTAATTTGTAGTCTGTTCTGTCTCTTCAGGGTTTTTGCACCATGAATTCTCCGTTGCTTAGGCAACATATTGACTAATCGATACAGCTTTTTTCTTGTGTTTTTCTTTTATCTCTCTGTTCAGAGATGCATATGCTATGAGAGGTTATATTAATTTCTTAAAGCATTTATAGCCAATTTCATAGGATCGTAGAATGGTTTGGGTTGGAAGGGACCTGAAAGATCATCTAGTTCCCACACCCCCTGCCATGGGCAGGGACAGTTCCACTACACCAGGTTGCTCAAAGCCCCATCCAACCTGGCCTTGACTTTGACATTTCATGACTTTGTCCTCTGTTTTAGCCTTTTAAGGTCTTCAGCAGGTTTTCTCACTGCTTTCATTTCTGAGATCTAGTCTGTGTGTCATTCTGATAGCCTTTTTTCCTTACTTCATCTGTGGCTGTTACAAATTAGAGACTGGCAGTTCTTGAAGATGACTTGGTGTCGCAGTGCCGAGCCATTAGTCTTGCCGGTGGCATTCTGAAGCCTGCGTTCTGTACATAAGCTTTCTGTCACATTTACATGATTTAATACTTTTTGGTTCAGAACCTTCTGCAGCAGTCTCCTGTATGTCAGGTAAGGCTGTATCTGGTAGATTTAGTTCTCTCTGGACAAGGAATGTTGTACAAAATGGAACAGATCCATCAGACTGAAGGACACAGGGGGCAGTCCCTAGCCTTGTGGCTTGTACATTTTCTGAGGATTCGGGAGACTTGACCTTCAGGTTGTTGCTCTAGTGTAGAAGTTCCAAGGAATTGCATCTGTAATGCTCTGCTGCCATCTATTTTTAATGTAAATTCTTTGGTTTTGACATCTTGTAGTCCAGCCAGAATTTATAGGCTTATTTCAGAGCTCTTAGAGAATTACTCAGGGGTGTTGAATCCTCTGTCCTGAGGCTGGCGTCGTGATGGTCTTGCGTGGCCTTGAGTTCTGCAAGCTTCTAGTGGAGGAGGAAGCAGACGGGAGGAGGAAGGAGGTGTTTGTGGTGGGTCTGTGTGTGCGTGCCAAGGGGGACAGAGGGGCTTTATCTGTGGCAGGCAGCAAGGAGCTGCATGGGGACACTGACAGCTCTGGGTAACTGCAGTCTCTGTGCTGGGAAAGATGCTTGTCTCAGCCTCTCATGTGGAAAACCCAGTCTCTTCATTTTCTCTCCCATTCTCTCCCCTGATGATCCTCCCTGGCGTTGCCCCTCTCCAGATGCCTGCAGCCCCTCGGCCTGCTCACCTGTCAGGCAGGGAGACTCGCTTTGTAAGTGCCCGTTGGTGTGCAGTGTGCGCTGCTGCTCCGTGCTGCTCTCACCCGGCACTGCTGCTCTTTGCCCCTTCCTCCAGCTCCGCGTTCCCTGGCTCTTGGGCTTGGTGCACACCGAGGGCTTGGTGTGGAGAGCAGTGCCCAGGGCGGCAGGTCGAGGCATGAGAGGCTGTTCCCTGCTAGCCACTGCTGAGATGGCATCTGTGAACGCTTCCTGGCAGAGAAGCTGTGGCGCTGATGGCTTTGCTCAAGCTCAGTAGCAAGTGCAGAGGGCAGGGGATGTAAACAAGGGTCAGGACCAGCTGAGCTGAAGTGGGGAAGGCGAGGGTGGAGGTCAGTGCCTGGAGATGTGCAGAGAGTTGTGAGTGCCTTCTCACATAGCAGAGGACCTGGGAGGAGCTCTTGTGGGTGGACTCTGGACTGCTAACCACATGAAGAAGGTGTGGTGGGGATTAGTATGGGGCTTGGGGGCTTTTCCCTGTACAAGGTGGGTGGCAGGGGACTGGTTGGGGTTGGAAGTTTTGTATTTCTTTTTGTGTGGAGCAGGGCAGACTGAAGGTTTCCTGTATGGACTCCAAATTTACACCTTTATTTCTGTTTTCAGGCTTCCATTAACTTCATTACATCGCAGGATGACAGTAAATCAGTAAGTACATCCACAGTGAGACCTTATTGTAGTGTCCCTATGCATTCTCTAGCACACAGAGCTTGCCTCTTCATCCTGTGTGTGCTCACTTCCAGCCTTGCAAGTCTCACTGTTGGCTCTTATTCTGTCTTCTTCAGTCCTCCACTATACCTGAAGTTTGTACAAATGCACTAAGTCTTAAATATTGTCAATTTGAAAACTTGATGCAAGTGTTTTTGCAGCTTTTATTCCTGTTTGGAATAAAACCAAACACTTGCGGCTTTCACTCGTGTAGTTTTAGCTGGCTTGCTCAATTCCTGCTTCTACGCTCTTTACTTCTACGTGTTTTCTTCACTTCCACACAGCATGCAACAGTGATCACATCTAGGTCAAATCGCAGACTCTGGTCTTTGCTCTTATGTCTGCATTTCTAACTGGAGCCCTATGTGGGTCTGAGCTCATTTTCATCCCCAGCTTTTGCCAATACCCATTCCTGGCTGGTGTTCCCCTGCTGCATCTTCCATTCATGATGCTTACACTCTCCAGACTTTGACGTACTCACACCATACCCCTCTGTCCGTTGCAGCTGCTACTTGTGTGGCAGATTCTTCCTCATGTCCTGGCCTTCTCTGTAGCCCTGTTGTGACCCTGACTTGTCTGAATCTCTGTGCCTGTCCAAAATACTTACACCAGAGGCATTGTTTAGTGTTTGCTTCAGTAGCTCTCTCTCCCAGTCTGGTAGCTGGAGTCAGCAGCACAGCTGAGGAATTGAGCTCAGGTGCATGGATTTGTCTTATTTACTTGCATGGCAGAGACATCTTGCTGCCCTGACTGCTCATTTGTCTTCTCTCTTCCTCTCTCTCCCCTCTCTTCCTCTTCCTTTTCCCCTGCTGTGTGGTACTGACACAAGCAGACCAAGCCAGGTGTCATTCAGCCTCTTTCCCGAGTGCGACAAAACGCTGCCTCACATAATTCGGAGGACGGGGACAGCCCCAATCCTTTCCAGCAACCTGAGCTGTGCTTCAATATCCAGAACTCTGTAAGTGGCCTGCGATTCCTTCTTGCTAAACTATGTGTATCTGCCCTAGGTTGATATAGTGCCACTTTTCCTGGTGGGTAGGCTGAACACACCCTCCAAGTGGTGATTTTGTATTTTAAAGAACATATGCCTTAGCTAAGGCTGGTCTTGTTTAAGCATCGGTCTGGATGCCCTGGGTGAGTACCCTACTCTTCACAAGCAGAGTCACGGTCAGTGCATCCCGTTTGCTTTTCTAACATAAGTGAGCCTCAGCAGCCTGCCCTGTGTCTTCACTTACCCGTTAAAGAAGTTAGCATTGTTGAAACTATTGTGGCTGAAATCCCCAGAGCAGTTACAGTTTTAGATCTTTATTTATGAGGTGTTGCCTTCTGTTGAGGCATAAATCTTCCAGAATCTTTGTCTATCAATGTCTTGCATCTTGGAGCAAGAGCCAATACCATGCCCAGTGACAGGACAAGGGGCAATGGGCACAAACTGAGGCACAGGAAGTTCCATCTGAACATGAGGAGGAACTTCTTCCCTCTGAGGGTGACGGAGCCCTGG